GCACAATGTTAGCCCAGGTGTACCCACTTCAGGTGCCCGCTATCAGGCATGCATTCAGGATCACAGGGTTCCCTCACCTATCCTGATGGCAGGAGGGCAGAAAAGCCTGACATTTTTTCTTTACACTACAGGAGGGGCTTCTGTTTCTGCTCAGGTCCCACACATGCCCCTGAGGCTGGCTCTTGCCTACACCTCTTTTTCTGGCTTGCATGCTTTGGCTGGTGGTATGATCCCACTCTCTTGAGAGACAACAGCAGCCAGTTGATATCTTAACCTTGTGGCTAATTTGGCTTTGTTTGGCATATTTTAAACTTTGGTTCTTTCCTTGTCTCCCAGACATTGGACACTCTGCAACTTGTTGCTTGTGTTTGCTGCTGGGAGATTGTCTTTGATTTTGTTCCCCTGTTTTTGGGCCATTCTGCGTTGGACTCTGCCTATTTGGTTGAACATTTGCCTATGAAAGAATATTTGATTTCAGAAATTGATCAGGAGTCCTTTGAACTGATCACCAATTAAAAATCTTTGGGCACACTAGAACATGATTGTTTTGTTGTTTGTATGTGTATGAGTAGGAAGGCATGAACCCTTAGGAAGGGCAACATGTGTTTTTCACCTTAGCAATTTGGAGTTTCTGGGTATCCCACATTTCTCCCTGATAGCAATTTATGCTAACTTTAATTTGTTTTTAAAATCCAGCATTACACGAAGAGGGCCATCATAAAATGTAAATAACTACATGTAGAAGTTTTTAAAATTACTACATAGTAGTCCATTGAGAGTCAATTCAATTATTCAAACCAAAGTCATGTAGATTATTTCAAATTTCTGCTGTCACAACCAACACTGCAATTAACATTCTTGTGGGTGTATCTTTGTTCACACCCTTGATTATTAGTACAATGCCTCTAACTGGAATAACTGAGTTAAAGGCAATATGTGTTGTCAGGGCAGTACTGGACACTGTGCAGGTTTCTAATATCCAGCAGACCAGGTAAAGGAGGAGTCAGAGTCCTCAGTGGTTTTTTGCAGGCTTTTTATTGGGATTACCAGGTACACAGCAGGCAGGGGTGCTGGGGGGCCAGTAGGCTGCCAGGCCTGCCAGCCCCCAGCAGGTCTTCACTCTGGGCTCCCCGGCCTTCTCTCGGCTTCTCTTGTAGCTTCTGCTGACATCCCCGTGACACTACCCTTAAAAGCCCAGTATCAGCCCAGGTGAATCCCATCTACTTATGCCCACACCCTATTCCAGGTGCCCGCCATCAGGCTTGCATTCAGGACTGCAAGGATCCATCCTCTATCCTGATGGCGGGAGGGCAGAAAAGCCTGACATTTTTCCTTGCCCTACACGTGTGAAAGCTATGGTGTAATTTGCCACATTGCTTTCCAAGTATATTAAGGTGGTACAGCATATACACCAACAGTGTGTAAAACACCAGGATATGGCCTTCATTTGAATGCCTCACACATGATAAACAGAAAACCTTCTGTAAGGTAAGGAAAAGTATCAGGCTTTTCTGCCTTCCCGCCATTAGGATAGATGAGGGAACCCTGTGGTCTTGAATGCATGCCTGATGGCGGGCACCTGAAGTGGGTACACCTGGGCTGACAGACTGAGTTTATAAGGGCGGCATCACAGGGACACAAGCAGAAGCCCAGAACGAGCAGAAGCAGAGAAGCAGAAGCAGAAGCAGAAGCAGAAGCAGAAGCAGAAGCAGAAGCAGAAGCAGAAGCAGAAGCAGAAGCAGAAGCAGAAGCAGAAGCAGAAGAGAGCAGAGCAGCAGAGACCACCAGAGAACGCCGGAGAGCCCAGATAGAGTGAAGACTTGCTGGGGGCTGGGAGGCCTGCCAGCCTCCCGGCTACCCAGTACTCCTGCCTGCTCTGTACCTGGTAAATCCCAATAACATCCGGCAAAAGCCACTGAGGCCTCCAGGACTCCTCCTTTACCCTGTCTGGTGGATTAGAAACCTGCTCCATGTCCATTCCTGCCTCTACACCTTCTCTTGAAAGGGCAGAGAGATCCTTGATACTTGGATTTCTGGGCTGCTCAGTAGATGGATATATTAGGACTTTGGGGGAAAGAATCCCACCCTTTCAATTGTCCCTTTCTAGCAAATAGAATCACCACTCCTAGCACCATGCAGATACTGGGGATAAAGAAGCAAAAAGTGTCTACCTGCTCAGAGGGATGTGATCACCTGAACCACAAAAGTAAATCCGGGGCGAGGCCCTAGCCCAGACCTGGGCACAGAAAGGGAAATAAGAACAAACAAAGCTTTCTTGGAGGATGTGACCTCCCAGACCAGCTTGAAAGAGTGGACAGGGTGAGTTTCATGAGGAAATGGGGTAGGGCTGAGGGACCACATGTGAAAGGTCTTGAAGTGGGAGCCAGAAGACCCGGGGGAATTGTACCCAGCCATCTAAACACCAACAAATCCAAGCCCTGAGAGGTTTTTCGTGAGTGCCTGCTTTTCAATTCACTCCAAGCAACAATCAGAACATCGTTTGCTCCACTGGCACGTGCATAAGACACCAGGGGCTGCAAGTGACTGTTCTGTGACAAAGAGGGTAAGCTAATGAGGAGCACAGGGTCAGGCGCTTTATCATGAGATCTCCTCTTGATACGGGGGACACTTGGCTTGTAGCACATAATGGGCAATATCTCAGCAACTTTTGTTTTAGCATTGAATGACCCCAGAGGTTCAGGCTACGTGCCTGGGCCAAGAAGCGGTGCTTCCATCACAAGCGTGGAGCAGGTCAGGAGAGGGAGATGGAGAACTGAGTCTGCGACTGTTAAAATGAGGACCTGAAGGATCTCTGAGTGGAGATTTATGGTCGTGCGTGGATACAGGGGTCCGAAGATTTAGTGGGATGGGTAGGATCATTAGTACGCAGGAGGCTGAGACAATGGCTATGGATGAGCTCACAGTAGGAGGGCAGGAGAAGTAATAAAATGAGATTCAAGGTGGAACTCTGGAAAAGGTAATATTTAAGGGACGGAGGAAGACAAACTAAAAGAGAAAAAAAGTATGAGATTGAAAAGCTGCATGTAAGAAACCAGTGTCCATGGACAGGGAAGGATTGAGTTTTAAAAGGAAAAGGTGCTCAGAGGGTCTGATGCTACTAAGATCTAAAACAAATTGGGGTTAATCAAGTGTCCATTGGATTCATCAGGCAGGAGTTCCCTGCTGCCTCTTGCTGTCCACAGTGCTGTGGCAAGGGTGAAGCTGAATTGCGGTAAATGAATGGCAATTTAGGAAATGGAAGCAAGCTGGCGTAGTAGTCTGTATTTAAAAGCTTAACTGAACTAGAGAAAGCAACACATGGAAGATATTTGTCTAAGTTTATATGCTGAGATAGGACTGGAGAGGGAAGATTAAAATTATAGCAGAAGGAAGAAATTTTATGGAATAAGACCTGTTGAATTGAAGTTGTTAGTGGATAAGCTGGCCAGGCAGAAGCTATTAAGTGAGAAACGTCAAACCAGAAACCCAGGGACGCTAATATTTAGGGATGGGTGGAGGAGATAGAAAGAAAGAGCACCAAAGAGGATGTAGACAATAGCTCCAAATATGGCAGAGATTGAACAGTGTAAGATGACAAATCACTGGGTCAGTGGTCTGGCAAATAAGGAGGTCACTTCTCCAGAGTAATTTTATTATACCAGTGTGATTATGAACCAAAGTATAGTGACTGAGTTGTGATAGGGGTAGTATAAGTTATCTCTTGTCGAGGGAACTGAAAGTTATGAATTTGATTGTGAAAAGTGATACTGCTAAGTAAAGAATAAAGTTCAGTGAAATGTCTCTCTGTAGTTTGGAAGGCTCCCCTGCTGGCAAGTTTACTATTGGGTTAAAGAGCCAATGGCCAAAGAGATCAGAGGGAAGGAGGGACAGGTCAGGGTGTTCATTGCCTGCTTCTGCTTCAACCAGGTTCTGGCAATGGCTGCATCTCTCCACTAGGGGTCCCTGTCCACAGGCCAGCTCCCTGGCCTGGGTGAGGCCATGCCTCCTTCTGCCTTGGGAGGCCTAGGCTGGTAAATGTTCCTGCTGCTGCTCTTCAGCAGCTGCCTCCCAACGCTTGCCAGTCCCTTCACTTGGCGCACAGGCTTCTCTGAGGTGACTTTAGTTGAACTACAGAAATGCAATTGTGACTCTGCCAGACTCCAAAATGGGGTCTGAGACACTACGAAATCTGACTCCCCACGAAATCATTTCTCCATCTATATGAAGCAAGTAAGAGTGACTATTGCCTACTGCTCTCAAGCTAATGATGCCACGGCCCATGGGCATCTTTTTGATAATAGCAGCCAGGATGGAAGACAATGATTACTCTTGGAAAGTCTTCATCAAAATATCAATATCTTTTACATAGGGAAGTGTGTGTGTGTGTGTGTGTGTGTGCACATGCTAACTGAGGGAGAATCTGTCCTACAGATTTGTAACTATGAGGAGAGGCTATGATTGAATGTCATGATGGGCCCTTTAATACGTGTCCTCAGAGAAACTAAATGATAAAAGCTGTTGTGGCTGTTGTTCCCAGGTGGTTAACACAGTTCAGATGCACTTCTCTTCTACTCAAATATGAGTTGCCCCAACTTTGAAAGCCACAGATTTCCAGGCAGAGGAAAAGTGGCAGAGGTTGGAAATGGTACAGGGAATGCTCAGTTAATGAACTTGGAAGTGAAAGGGATGCAGAGAGAGTACAGCCCTCTGCTGGGTCTCTGTTCCTTGAATGAGGTGGTATTAGGGAAAGATTCATCACAGATGAATTGCTGCCATAGAAAGAGTCAAGCATATCCATAGATGAAAGGGTGAAAATATCAGTGAGAGAAAGAGTCAAGCATATCCATAGATGAAAGGGTGAAAATATCAGTGAGAGAAAGACAAGACAGACATCTAGCCACGGCCCGAGGCCTTGGAGGTTTAGGAGGCCGGAGGCCCAGTGCACAAGTGGACAATTGACTTCATTATTTCTATGTCCAGTCAACATGCTGAGACCAAGAAGAGCCAAAGAGGTATTTATTAGCAACTTTCTACATTTGAATTGACCCCTTCACCCTTTCCCACACAATCCCTTCTCCTTTGGCCACCACATGACTATAGAGGATTTTATGTGGTTCTTGTGGAGGAAGAAGAAAAGGGTTGTCCTCCTGGGCTGGTCCTGGGCACTCAGCAGAGCGTTGTTCTTTGGAGGGGAAAGGTAGCACCAGCACTGTCTCCTTCTCAGGCCCCATGAAGAGGAAGGAGATATCCACAGGTTCTCCCTGGGGATTCCTGGTTAGATCCAGATGCACAGGGAAGGCCTCCACAGGAACACTTTCCTGGGACCCTTGGGGCTTCTCATCACCTAGGTCCGGGAGGTATTGGACAGATCCTTTTGGCACTGCTGTGGCTGGTGCATCAGTGGGAGCTGACTTTTTCTGCTGGGAGTCTTCCACCTTGGGCAGTTGCGCAGGACCCAGGTTAACAGCAGAGTTTTCACCACCAGGAGCAGAAGTCTGAAATAAGAACACTTTCAAATAAGAGATTGCCCCTCATTTGAAAACCTTGCCTTACCTGTTACCAGGCTAAGCTGTGCCTTCCTGATGGAATCTTTTAAAGGGAGACGAGCTGTAGGGATGAGTCTTTGGATAAAGGATTAAAAAGTAAGACCAGTAAGGGCCAGGGGAACCAAGACCTGTAGAAGCTTGATAGCAAGTCATGCAAACTCAGAGCTGACAATGGGCCAGGAAGGTCAAATGACTTCTTCAGTCCCCAATGAGCGGTCCCCCTGTTCCCAGCAGCGGTAGCAACAGCCACCTCTAATTAATGGCTTAATTTAGTTTCGTTTAGAAGTTAAGTACAGTCCCCTCCTCACACTTGTTTATCACAGGATCTGAATGAGAGAGCTGTTGCGATCTCGTTCTATAGCAGAACCCCTGGCTCACAGTGGCAACTCTTGCCCATGATCACACAACTCACAAATGGGAGGACTGGAGCCCAGGTGGCTCATCTCAACCATCCCCTTACTACACTATACTTACTCCAAGTATGTGCTAAGTAATTATTGTGGAATTGATTGAAAGCCTTTTGGAAACAACTAACCCAACAGGTATGCATAAGGGTTTAGGAAACTGAATTTAATAATGCTGCAGAGGCCTGAGTCATCCCAGCTAGTAGGTCCCTCTTTCTAAAGGAGTCTTATTTATTCTGCAGACAACTTTGTTTCTAAAACAATGTTTTAGAAACAGATCTTTTACTAGCTACCTTGTGGGTATGGCTTTAAAGCACTATGAGTAAAGTGGTGATCATACATTTTAGGGAGGTGAAAGGTAAGGTGAGCTAAAGGTTTAGGCACAGCTAAACACAAATATATCTTATACATATTTATAGATAATTTACATATGTATAGTTGCATTTCTTCTCAGCAAGACAAATATATTGAAAAGTACCTGTGATTTAAAGAAGTCACATGTCACAGAGACAGACTTTACGTTGCCATTTTCTATCAGAGAACCTTTGCAAAGGCCAACAGCCTAAGGAAAGGAAAAATACAGTGAAGCGTATTATGATTATCTATTATTTTAAATGAAAAACAGTTTGATTTTTGCTCATGCACACACAACCAATCAACATTTTTATGTACCTGCATGCAATAGGCAGGCTATCTGTTAACTCCTGCAAAATGATCCTTAGCAAATAATCACATAAAGTATACTAAGTTGCTCAATGACAAGAAACTAAGTGTTTCTGGCAAACAAACTCTGATTATTAGAATTTAGTGTGTGTGTGTGTAGGAGAAAATCTTTGTAGTTCTGCCTCTTGACTTCAAGAGCACTGAAGAACAATGATCTAGAATTCACCACATTATGTTTAAACAGATGGTCGCAATGATTCTCTATTGCCTATCTCCAGGTCATACAATGAGCAGGTTAGAAATTTTTCAGGCTTGAAACTCCATTAAAGTAGGAAGTTCCTAGCGAATGGGACATAAGCCCTTCCCTTCTCCTGTTCATAACCAAGCCACATAAGGGAAGGGCTCTAAGAGAACGTTCTGGAGAGAATCAGATACCACAGTAAGTACAACCTGGCCACTCCGATTCTGTCTAGGATTTACTGAGTTACCAAAATTCATAGACTTAGCTGTTGTACTAAATATATGACTATAGAGTTTGGGGACATATACACTATGGAAATTAGTATGTTTCTCTCTCAGAATTTTTTGAGATCAGGAACCTGGTTAAATAGTCTACCTTAGTGTGTAAGTGGAGTGAACAGCACAAGGAAGGCTATTTCTACCTTTGCGATAGTTGACATATACAAGGGTTTCATGGGAAAAGCAAATGTCATGGTACAGCTATTTTGCTAGTAACTACCAGTGGGTGATCTTTCAGAGACTAAATAGGGGGAATAAATAGTTAACACAGAGGTGGTTCCAAGGAGTCAGCTATAGAATACATCATCCTGCTAAGATAGTTTGAATCTCTGGATGAACCAACACCTGTATCACTTAAGAGAACCAGCAAGAGCGCATTTCATAGAGAGCCTATGTAGAACAAGAGAAAATTGTAAATGCAAGTTTGTTATGTGAAAGACATTGTACTCTTGTCTCTAATCTTCTTAGAACTTGGAAGAGCAAAAGTAAGCAAAAGATGGAAGAAAGGAAGCAAGAGTGAAACAGATCTTGACCACTTCTTTACAGCAGACCTTAAGTTCTACATCCACCTTGAGCTACAGAGGGAAAATTTTTTGATTGAATTAGAAATAAACGTTTGATTCAGAATTGACTGAAGAAAACTTTTTTCATATATGAAAGTTAATCTTAGTTACCTAAGTGAAATTTTCTTCTAAAAATGACTAGAAAGAGATGAAATCTGCTCAAGATGTTACTGGCAAATGAGAAAGGTCACACAGAGGAGAGTGAAGAAATTTCCCTAATTATTTCTTGAACAAATTGAGAATATTCAATGGACTGATTTCAAAGGTTTTTTGAGAGTACATTTTAGATTCAAACACACACACATAGGTTGAAATTTAAAAAAAGATGGAAAGAATATACCATGCAACAGGAATCAAAAGAAAGCTGGAATGGGCCTCCCTGGTGGCATGAGGGATTAAGTCACAACCTATGAAGCTATTCATAGCCACTGCAGCAGGAGTTCGATCCTGGCCAGGGAGCCACCCACATGGCACAGAACTCTCCTGACTCGCCCGCTGCTCCCTTCAGTGTATTTCAGTCAATCCACCTGTTCTGTCCCCTACTCTGTCTCTGGTGAATCCTCTCACCCCCAACACATCTGGCCTGTACCCCAGTTCTTGTATGCTTAAATAAATAAATCATCATAAAAAAAATGAAAGTTGGAATGGTTATGCAAGTATCAGATAAAACTGACTTTAAGACAAAACTTGTAACTAGAAATAGAAATATGTTTTATAATAGTAACAGTATCAGTTTATTAGGAAGATATAACAGTTTTAAATACATATGCAGCTAACAACAAAGCAAAAACTGAGAACATTCAAGAGACATGTAGGCATATCTACAAAAATAATTGGAATATCCAGTTTGATAGAGACTAGAATAAGTATGCAGAACCTCAAGAAGGAAATAGAAGTGTGAATAACACTATAAGCCAACTAAAGTAACAGTAGAATATATTCTTCCTCAGTGTACATGGGATATTCTCCAAGATGCACCTTTTACTAAAGTATAACATAAAACAAGCTTTAATAAAGTTAAGAGATTTGAGGTCATGCTAAGTATGTTCTCCAACCACAATGGTATAGTAATAGAAATGAATAACAGAAAGAAATTAGAATTTCATAAATATGTGGAAATGAAAAAACATGACCCAAAAGAACCAATTGGTGAGAGAAGAAATCACAAAGGAAATTAGAAAATACTTTGAGTCGAACATTCACAACTTCTGAGGTGGATCTAAGCATTACTGAAAAGAAAAATTTCTACCTGTATAATGCTTATGTTAAAAAAGAAAATTAGCCATCTGTAACTAAAATCTCTCCTTTATAAAGCTAGAAAAAGAAAAAATTAAGCCAAAAGCAAGAAAAAGAAGGCAGTAATAAATAATAAGGAAGAAATAAATGAACCAGACAATAAAAAAGAATAGACAAAACTAAAAGTAAGGGGTTTTGAAAAGATAATAAAATTGGCTAAACATTAGCTAGACTGATGAAGATAAAATTACTCAAATTGCTAAAACTGGAATGGAAAATGAAACATTACTACCAATTTTTCAGAAATAAAAAGGATTCTAAGGGAATAATATAAGAACAACCTATGGTCCTTACAATGGTGGCAAATTAGATAACTTAAATATATTCCAAGGAGGAGAAATGCTACAAAAATTGAAGAACAGTAGATAATATAAACAGAACTATAAAAAATGAGTAGTTTTTTTTTCATGTAAAGAAAATTTCCATAAAGAAAAGTCCCGGCGCAGATGACTTCTCTGATGAATTCTAACAAACATTTAAAGAAGAATAAACACACCAATCAGAGTCTCAAAAGAATGAACACACCAATTCAGAGTCTCAAGAATAAAATATAAGGGTGAAAAAATTGTCTAAGTCATTCTAAAGGTGAATATTAAACTCATGAAAAATCAGGCAGAGACCACATCAGAAAACTAAAAAGACCAATATCTCTAATGCATATATTTGAATATTCTTAAAACAAAAATACTAGTAAAGGGCCTCCCCTGGTGGCACAGTGGTTGAGTGCTGGGCTGCGAGCCTCTGCAGAGCCGGTTCATTCCCCGGCCACAGGCAAGGGTCCCACAAGAAAAAAAAAAAAAAGAAAGAAAAAAAAAGAAAAAAACACTAGTAAAGTGAATTCAGCAATATTTTGAAAGGATTATACACCATGACCAACTGGGATTTATCTCTGAAGTGCAATATTGTTTTAACACATGAAAAACAATATTGTAATATGTAATACTCATATATTAAAGATGAAAAAATTCACACAATTATTAACTAGGAAAAGCATTTACATACACCAACACTGTTTCTTGATAAAAGCATTTAACAAACTAGGCATAGAAAAGAACTTGCAACTCTGATAAAGGGCATGGAAAACCTACAGTAATCTTTTTATTAAATGATGAAATATTGAATGCTTCCTCCCTAAAATCTGGACTAACATAAGGATGTCTACTACCCCCATTTCTAGTCAACATTGTACTGTAAGTTCTAGTCAGGAAAATAAATCAAGGAAAAGAATTAAAAGGTGTGCAGATTGGAAAGGAAGAAATAAAACACCAATTTGTAGATGGCATAATCTTGTATATAATAAACCCCAAGGAATCTACCAGAAAATGATTAGATGATCTCATCAAACTTATAGCATAGAAGATAAATCTAAAAAATGAATTTTATTTCTATACACTTGCAATGAACAATCCACATGAAATTAAGGAAATCATTCCATCACATTACTACCTGAGAGAATAAAATATTTAGGTTCACAAGTGAAAGTTCTGTAGGCTGAAAACTACAAAATATCATTGAGAGAAATTAAGTACCTCTGAAAAATGTGGAAAGAGCTGTTTTTCCTCATGTAGATTTGTTTTTTAGGTTAATTTTCCTCACTTTGATAATATCAACATAATTCAACTACAACTGAGTCTCTATTTCACAAGCAGTATTACAAATGTAACTGGACTTTTTTTTTACATAAAATCAGAACCATTAACACCACTGAGAAGATTCATCTATATTTTTGAGTCTCCTAAGATCATTCTTTTTCAGAGGCATCACATTGTTGATGAAAATTCTCCTTACAAGCGAATAAAACCTTATTAATGTGTGTGGGCCAGCACAATCTCCAACTAGCCAGTTGTTTCCTGAGGTGAACAAAAGCATCTCATGCATTATAAAACCTCATGTGTAATTTATACTAACAAATAAGCCTGCTAAATATTTCTCACGTGTGAACACAAATCTTAAATTCTGAAGAAATTCAGAGATACTCACCTCTGAGTCAGGAGACTGATGCGTGCAGCTGCTGGCCTGGGATTTGGTACAAGGTGCCTCTTTGATTAAATATTCCACAGAGTATAAATGTCCATCCACCCACTGAATGAGACAATAGTTGAGAAATAAAAATCAGACTTTCCACATGGGGAACTGTTGATTGGCAGCATGATTTTTACAGAACCATACACGCCCAAGTTGGGTTAGCGCGGGTATCCCAGTGTCCCTGTAAACCCACCATTATCAAAGCATGTAACAGGATCCTGATATGTAGAAAATAACCACCACACCTCCCTCCCCTTCTCAGGAATGAATGGGCTCTAAAAGCCTTCTGCCGGGGACCAGCCTCCGGCAAAACGTCATGTCAGGGGTTCCTGAAAGGATGAGAAGGCGTCAGCGAAAACGAAAGGGCTGAGGGGAAGGGGATGAGGTAGAATGAGGAGACACTGACACTTGGTGAGGTGCTAGTATCTTCTGCCGAGAAAGGCTCAGCAGGTTCTTTATTTATACGTTTTTTGCAAGCATTGAGATTACATTATCAAGTGCATAGAAACAAAGCAGAAACAATTAGTGCATCTCTTTTTCCGTGCTCTCAGCAAGAAGGCAACCTTCAAGGTTAATAAAAAAACTAAGTCTTACACTAAAATTCATTGTTTCAGCTAAACAATAACCTAAGACAGTTGATAGCCGCCAGTACATCCCTATCAGCTAAAGCCTAAGCAAAGAAAGGACTTTTCTTATTCTCATGGCCTTCGCAGCAGGAGCTGGCTGCTACTCAGCTATCAGAACTTTTTTTATTTAGAAACTCCTAACTCAAATAGCTTCATTTAAAAACTTTCCCAAGAAACTTCAAGGGAAGGCAAAAGAAGGACCCACTATAATTATTGTATTGTAATGCTTGTCAGGCATGTTCAACAAACCATCTCCCATTGTCAAGTGGGCCAAACTGCCCAACAACTAATTTCTAAACAAACAATTTTTCGTGCTATTTACTTACAGTATGCTGATACATATAATTTATTGCCTAAAATACTTTCTGATAAATTTTTCTCTATGACCAAGAACAAAAAGCAAAGGGATGCCAGATCTTCAGCCCCACGGTGTGAGGCCCTTTCTCTTTGCTGCTTGTCAGTATCCTCTCTGGCTGGAGCAACAAGGCCTCCTGCAGCAGCCTTCACTTGGGTGACCTTATTTTTCCTCAGGTAAATTTATTTTTAGATTAATTTTCCCCACTTTGATAGATCGCAATACAATGCAAATACAATTGAGCCTCCATTTCCCTCAGCATCCACTCCCAACCCTAACATGACCAGAAGCTGACTTGTTGAATGGCCCTTGGTCACTCAGATCTGAAATGTAGCAATAAACAGTGACCCCAAGTAGAGAAACCTAGACACTAGGTTTCACATTTCCCTCCCTGCCTTAAGACCAATGAAATAAAGGAGTCACACACTTGTGGAAATCATGTGATTAGCTCAGACACTGAAACATAATTGTGCGGGCATCAGGTATTCCAAGACAAGAACCCAAGAGGCTGCTTATCAAAAGGCACCCCTGACAGTCTCCTCTCAGCTCTGGCTCCATGGCTACATGCGGGAGATTCACTGTTGGTGTAACCACCAAGGGCATTCAGTCTCACCTGGCTAGAAGCCTTGGTGACTTTGACCAGAGAATACTGCTTCGAGGTGCTCTCACTGTTGTATTTTGCAAGAGATTCAGTGGCAGCTTCCAAGACCTTGGGATCTGAGAAGTCACGGGAGACAGAACCACCAGGCACTGGGCAGTCAGGGCACATTCGACGAATGCTTCCACTAGAAACTGTTGATGCCAAAGAAAGCACTTTTAAAACAAAGCTCCTTAATGACTTTTAATCCTGCTAACCATATAAACACAACAGAGGCAAAGACTGGAAAAAAAAAAGATAATACTAAATTTCAGCAAAGATGCAATAGAAAAGGTATTTTCCGTGGCCTCCCTGGTGGCACAAGGGGTTAAGCACAGCATTATGAAGCTATCTGTAGCCTCTGCAGCACGAGTTCAATCCCTGGTCAGCCAGGTAGCAACACACATGGCACAGCAGACCTCTCCTGCTTCGCCCGCTGCTCCCCTCAGCAGTGTTTTTCAGTCAGTCTGCCTGTTCTGCTCCCCACTGTGTCTCTGGTGAATCCACTCACCCCTCCCCTGACCCCCCCACCACACCTCTGGCCTCTACCCCAGTTCTTGTATACATAAATAAATAAATCTTTTTAAAAAAAAAAAAAAAGAAAAGATATTTTCTGGATAGAAAGCTGTCTGGATAAAAAATGAATTTTCTACTATGTGCATGTGTTACTTTTATAATTAAGAAACTAATATTTTCTTACTTCACATATATTTATTTACTCTAGGAATTTTATTCAAAAACACATGCTATATGTATTTATATTGATATGAACATTTTTTTCTCAACTAGTTAAACATCTTCTAAAAGCATCACCTCTAAGTGAGACTGAATATCTTAAAAGCTTGGGATTTTAGTACTGTCATGTCTTACTCACAATTTGGTGCCTAACACCAAATATAATATGTTCCATGTTTACCAAATGCTCATTGAATGAATGAGTGACTGAATGACCTAACAGAAGGTGGGTGCATACCTACCTTGGTAGAAAATGCAAGTGAACCAGAAAAACAATGGTCAAATCACCATGATATTGGATAGTATAATTACACTAATGGTACAGTTAGAATTTCTGATTAGGTGGAAATGGGGCTGGCAATCCCTGTGTGCCAGTTAGCTAGGGAACTTACCTTAACTTGTTTTTAGCAGCACAAACACATCGGTTTTGTCAACTGGAATCATCGCCAGGGGTCACTAGCTCCATCCTCATACCTTCGGTGGCTACATGTTCCCACTCTTAGTAATTGTTCTCTAATTTATTTTTAGGAGACTCATATGTTCACAACTAGGAAGCTTAAACCGTGGCAAATAAAATGTTTGCTCTGTTGCCTTGTCCCTCCAAGTAACCAGCCACATTGTTATCACCTGAAGCTTGTTTCAAATACAGACACTCAAGTCAGCACCCCAGACAGAGAATCAGAATCTGCACTTGAACATGATCTAGCAGGGGAGAGCCATGCACATAATAGCTTGACAATTGGTCATATCCTATTTCCTGGGCCTTGGATGCTGCTTCCCCAAGCAGGCCCCAGAATGATTGACAGTACATATATCAAAAATCATGAGCCTTATCCTCATTCCAGAACATTGATACATTTAAGTGAGTGTAAAGATTAATTATGGACTTCTAACATGTGACAGTGAGGAAGAATTGATAATTTTTCATTATATAAGGAAGAAAATGCAAGTAAATCAACGCATGATGTGAGCTCCAGGAGTGGGCTGATTAAGGTTTTACTGGGATGTAGAGAGGACAGCACTAGTCATTTCTTGAACAGAGAACATTGTGGAAGAAGTAGCTGCATCAACGTGCTCCCAGAATGGCTATAAGTTCAAGACAGAAGCTATCAGGGTGGCATCCTCAGCAGAGGGAGCCAAATGAGCAAGAAGCCCAGGCTGGAAAGTGTAAGGTGTGTTCAGAAAAGAGGGGGGCGTCCAACTGCGTGGAGTGCAGAGTGGTGCATTCACAGAGATAGCCACCATATTTTCAGACATGGTGAGAAAGGGCACCTGAGCACCAGATGTAGAAATTATGACATTTGTAACAGACCAAAGAGTTAGGATTTCATACTCAATGCTGAGTAATTACTGTGGGTGATTGTGGGAAGTGCCAGTACTGGATATAGCAGGAACATGGTCTTGGAATGAATGAATAGATAGTAAGGAAAGGAAAAATTCTATATATGTGGGCATTGCCCTATTTAAATGCTTTTTGCCCTTATTTTATTTAATAAAATGAGCAAAATCAAATGAATGTCTTACCTGGGCGAAGAGTACAGTTATAAGAAAGTGTATAGAGGATTCTTGCTGTCTTGTGCATATAAAATAATGCTTTGCATTGACCATAAACCTGGAACAAACACATGCATTTTATGACATGGAAGAAAAATCTAAGACTTTAAAAAAAAAAAAAAACCCAAACTGAACATTTTATTTTTAAGTTCTGAAAAGCTGAATGACTATTCTGGTGGCTTTGACTGTGGGAAACCACCAGCTGATTATCAAGCAGTTTAACCTACTTCCGGGGCACAGCCAGACCTCATCCCCCACACTCCTTCCTGGTCCCGTGCGACTGGGCACAACTGTGTTGTAACGCAGGAAGGTGAGTGGAAGTGACTGTAATCACTGCCAGGTCCGGCTCATGAAGACCTCCCCTGAGCCATCTGTCCTGCTGCTGGTTCTCTTGCCAGAGCTGAGGCAGATGTGCTGGTGACCCCAGAAGCCTGGACTAGGAGGTGACAGAGTCATAGCCACAAAGCAGAAAGACCCCTAATCACTCTTGGAGAAAACCCCTTCTTGTTCAGACATTTCTATTTTGAACTTTACATGAGTAGGAAACAAACTTCTGTCATGTTGGAATCAGCACACACTTTTAAGTCTAGTACACAGCTAGTACCTCCTTTTAAAGTATTAAATTTTCAGCAGGTAAATAGATTATTTGCTTTTCAAAAGTCAGCTTGGATAGTGTGATTAAATGATTAGGAAAGATATCTTAAACAGTTTACTAATACGATCTTGCATTCAAGTTATAAAATTCTTATTAAACCGTGGAGAAAAACCACTGAATGATTAAGTATAAAGTAAAACACTTACTCTGTGATTTTCAAGATTCATCAGTGGTCATCTTTTAAAGACTCAACTCTGAAGCCCTTTACTTTCCATTCTAGTCAGTTCTCCCATGAAATATCTGAGAATTCTATCCTGCTTCCCTCTCTCAGCAACAAATCAACACCAATGCTCAATAAAATAAAATCAAGCAACAAAAACCAAATGCTATCCCATCATCATTTATACAGTTTTCCTTACACCCACAACAGAGGACTTCACCTCACACCTTTATTTCACAAGTTAAACACTGGCTTAGCATCTACAGGAGAGTCCTGGAGGTAGAAAATAAATTAGGCAACTTTCCAATTCTGGGTTTCACAATTCCAAGTGGATTCTCAGAAATCCCTCAGAACATGAGTTAAACACTGTCTGTTCTGGTTATAGAACTAGAATGACCACAAGACACCATGTCCAGGAGATGATATTGACTGGCATTTGAAAGATGGTGCATCCTGAACAATCTTTACCCCAAAGCTAGAGGACACCTCTTTTCTCCCCTGGAGTCCCTGGACACAAGCACTTACTGATTCCAACAGTGGTCTCACATTACAGTCCTTCCATGACTTCCTGCTGAGCACATGGCAGTCAGTGTCTACCACGTCCAGGGTGAGATAGTACAGAGCTGCTGGTCCATCCTGTAGGCAGGGGTGGAGAAACAAACATGAGCAGCAACTCCTATGGACTGGCCCCCAAAGTCTCTGTTTTATAGCACAGTCAAGGCTAAGAAGCCTGTCAAAACTTCTCATCACATCTGCAATACTAGACAGGGGTAGCGATTAGCTTTGTCTCTAGTGACAGTGAGAGCATTGCAGACACTCTGGCTGAAGAGAGCAGAGCTGCTCAGCAGCTTCCAATTTGGAAAGCACCGGCAACATGTGTCCCTGGTCCCCAGCCCTGGCCAGCCCAGCGAGCACCTGCCCGGGTAGGGGACCATCACTTGCCTGTCTGTGTTCACGGACATCGCTCACTCGGTTGAGGCTCAGCACGTAGCCATCCTTGCGGTCCCTGTTGATGTCCCCCAGGGCAAAATTAGCAAATGACAGCACATCTGAGTCATTGCAGCCACGGGAGAGTAAAGGCGAAGGGTTGAAAACTTGCTGGGGTGGAGATGTAGCCCCAGAGCCCACAGCCAGGGCGCAGAGCACCAGGGGCAGGAGCAGACCCATTCTGTGGGGAGCAGATCCCACGAGGTGGCAGTGGAGGGAACTGCAGAGAGGAGGCGTTATATAATGCTCTGTAAGGCCAAACAGAGGTGTTTTACAATCACAATCAGAACCTGTGATCAGTATTTGAAACATGATGTCCCATTTTATCTCCTTGAATAACAAATGTAGATTTCCCTGAGTCAGTACTTGGGAGAAGATTTGCCACATTTTCTAACCTTAGGTCCCTAATCTCTATTAATGTGTACATGTAAACAAATTTGTTTCCTAATCTTTTCCTAGGAAATCCTAATAAACCCTGACGTCAGGGCTACGGTTGGTTGTGATTGGATTCTGCTGTGTCCAGGGATCCGCCTGAATCATAATATGCAGGATTCTCGGGCCTCGCCTGGTGGCGCAGAGGTTTCGCGCTGGGCTGCGAAGTTGCCCGCAGCCTCTGCAGCACTGGTTCGATTCCCAGCCCCCGGCGAGGGTCCCACATGGCAGGCAGACCTCTCCTGCCACACCCTCTGCTCCCCTCAGCAGTTTATTTCGTCAGTCTGTCTGTTCTGTTCCCTGCTGTGGTGAATTCTCTCACCCTCCCGTGCTTCTGACTGCACCCAGTGCTTGTATAAATAAATAAATAAATCTTAAAAAAAAAAAGAAAGAAAGAAAGAATATGCAGGATTCTCACACCCTCCCTGGTCCCCTTGCACCTCCCTCCAACTGATGTCCTCAGCCACACTCGGACTTGTCTGAGACTTGGGGCCTGGGGCCTTGGTGCCAGTGGTGACAAGTGTGTTCCTACTTCCTGCCTGATGCCAGTGTCACTGTTCATGTTAAACGCCTCAGTGAGGAACATGAGGCACCACAGAAAGTACTAGGCACTTTGGGTATCTGACTAGAATTTGTTCTTTTTAGCCTTATTTGGGTTCTTTTCTTTAAACAAAGACCTATTGGGTCAAAATGAAAGTAAATGGCATACCAACTATGCTTCTTTCTCTGGGGCTCCATAGTAACAAATTCATAAATAGATTAAAAGCTATGACCACTGTTGAGCGATCAAGACTGGAAAGTGACTGGAGCACCAGTATCTACAGACGTGGTTCTGAAATGATGCTGCTGTCCTGCTGAAGGCCTCCTTCCCTCAGAGGTGCTGGTTGTCATGGGTTTCACTACAACACAGGGCTTAATACTAGTTTCACCCTAACCAGGACACACCCCACACACTGGTCAAAGAAAGGAATGGGTATTAACACTGCCAAGAAGCCTCCCAAAGTCTTGTTGGCTGGTAAAGCCCCAAAGCCTGCCACAGGTCTAAAGCATCTTCCTGTGGGACCCACAGAAAAGGATCAGAAACAACCAGACAAGTCTGGAGGGAAAAGAGCAAAATCAAAAGCAAGACAAAAACTGCCATTGTCACTTCCCCACGGGTCTCTCACCCACATCTGTGTCACCCAGTCCATGGCCAAAAGGCAAGTGCAGTTTCTTCATGTTTCTCTCAGCTCCATGTGCCTCCTGCAAGTCTCTTTCAGACTCTCCATCCTGCTGCCTTCCTTCCTCAGTCTCCTCTGCAGCTCACTCTCTCTGCTCAGCTCCACCCTCCCTTGGGTGGGGGCAGGAAATCTGGAACCTCCCCCTTTCCTGGGGACCACCCTGTTACAATCCCCCCTTTTAATTTTTATTCCACCATATCTATGGTGGCACAGATCTCAGGGTATATAGTCTTAGGAGACAGTCTTTTTTTTCAGGGTTACAATGTAAGTGAAGCAACAATTAGCAGCAGCATTGTCCATGAATGTCCAGTATGATAGTTTTACATTACTAGGTAAGCCAAACAGGACAAATTCATCTAATGCCTTTCCCAGGAGAAAAGGGAGAAACTTTGTGGAGTGTCTCAGGAGCTCTACTGAGGTTCTACAAAATTTCCTTAGATCAACCAAATGACAGGCTAATAAATTTTTACTTGAATTTAGATTTCTAGGAAGTTTTACCATAATCAGAAAACAACAGCAACAATAATATTCAATCTCTATGAAGGCACTGGCTTAGTTCAGTAGTACAATGTTGACAATCAAACCATAACCTTTTTTTTTTTTTTTCATAACTGGAGACTTTTAATGTCTTAGGCACCACATATACCAATTTCTCAACCTCTGGGGGCCAAGACAGTTAGACACAAGGACATACAGACATACAACATATAGACAGATGGGTTTTTTTAGATATGACACGTGGAATATTTTATGTAACTGCAGTTTTACTCCATAGGCTCAGATAAAAATCTTAAAATCCAGAAAAAATGTGGAGTGTTGCTGGCAGAAACCACAGGGTCCAGTTGTCATCCAACCAACCTAAGACTTTGGAAATAGGAAAAAAAGTTTTATTAATCACAAGAGTTACATGAACTTATTTATCACTTTTGGGTTTTCAGTGTTCAAGCCTTTTTATTAGAAGCCAATCCTGGAGTATCCTGTACAGTAGCTGAAAGAGCAAAATCAACAATTAACTTTTAAGCAAAAGGAGTCATCTCTTGTTAGCCACCAGGCAGGCAATACTTGGGTTTCCTGGAACAGAACCTGAAAAAGCAAAATCAAATTATCAGCAATTAACTTTCAATTAAAAGACATCGTCTCCTTACTTCTGTTCGCCACTCTGGGACAGAAGCTGAAAGAGCATATTCAATATCAAAGCACAGATTACAACTCCCCCACACTAGGGAGGGACAACAAAAACACAGGTAGGAAAACCTGGTACAGTTTCATCATGCAACATGAAGAGTGATTTACACAACAGACCTTCCTCAGGAGGAAGCAGAATCTTAGAATCTTGTCTTACACCAGCAATTGAACAAATCCAGGATTCAAATGGCAAATATGCCCAAAACAATTGTGTAGACAAAATTCATAGCAGCAAATCCTTTGAGACTCACAAAAATCTTTTTAATTTTTCTGATCCAGACTTTGCAAAAATTTAAGTTATCTCCAAGAATCCATCAAGCCTACCAGCAATTAAAGTTACTGCTTAAGGCTACTCTTTCCTTAACACCCAGACATACATTTGCTAATTTAAACACCACTGCTCCACAACTGGCTTGTAAAACCTCTCAGGCAGAGGTCAGGAAGTAGTAAAAGACAAAGCGACATATCGCTGAAGAATCATGATTGCCTTTAGAGATGTTAATGAGACAGCAGAGATCACAAAAAGAAAAAATGTCCAAAGTCCTAGCAACAAGAATCTCTGAGTTTTACAGGAACCTGCCAAATGGCCTCAGATGCCATCTTTGATCTGGCCACATGATCCAAACTACTACCTAATCTTTTGAGTAAAACTGCTGCACAGAACAATTTCCACAAAATGAAATCTCTTAGCAAGTCACTACAAACAAATTACACACAGACACACAGAATCTTGACAAGGCCCAAGCCAGTTTTCAACAGCAAATCTACATATGAAACAAAACATACTAGAGAAGCCAAAAATCACATTTGCGCTCATGGTAGCCAGTGCCACAGGGAAGCCCAATTTCCCCATGGGGCTGACTAACCGCAGTTGACTCTGTCCTAAATCACTTTGGGCACCAAATCTGTTACAGGGCAGGGAGAGAGACTACCCCAGACCCCGCAAATCTGCCTGCTCGTCATTGGTTCTGCCATCCGCTGCATCAACACAAAACATGAGACTTTAATGGGAAGGAACTTTAATACAATTAGGAAACAATATAGGAAAAGCAAAGAATCTAGTTTCTAAATCAAGCACCCAAAGTTACCCATCCCCTCATGGGTAAAAGTCCATCCAAATGGGATTGGCCCAGAGCAAATCCCCAAAGCCTGCCACAGGTCTAATGCATCTTCCAGTGGGGACCCACAGAAAAGAATCAGAAACAACCAGACAAGTCTGGAGGGAAAAGAGCAAAATCAAAAGCAAGACAAAAACCACCATTGTCACCTCCCCACGGGTCTCTCACCCACATCTGTGTCACTCAGTCCATGACCAAAAGGCAAGTGCAGATTCTTCATGTTTCTCTCAGCTCCACGTGCCTCCAGCTCTCTGCTCAGTTCCACCCTCCCTCGGGTGGGGGCAGGAAACCTGAAACCTCCCCTTTTCCTGGGGACCACCCTGTTACAAAGATATTTGTGAAGTTTCCTTCACTTTCATGGTCTCATTAACTTGCAGAATATAAATTACCAAAGAAAACGAACTGGCAAAACAGCAGAGTAATTCCCAGGCTCTATGAATACTGGACTGGTCACCAGAATACTAGTATGCTGGTGTTGGGGGGTGCATGGAGGCAGGGAGACCACAGGGAGGTGGCCCTGAAACTTTGGTGCAGGGTGAGTGTGGCATATGTACAGACAGAGATGTGAAATTGTACTCCCAATTATAGTTATGTAAATCATGGCATCAACAAATTTTTTTTTTTTAAATGGCAGTGCAAACTCCAGGGAACTCTGGGCAGGGTGTCTAGCAGCATTGAATGTCAGATCCTCAGGATCCAGCCGCTCTAAGCATATAGAGGAAGAAGAGGCTGTTGGGGAGTCCTGGATGGAGACGAGGGTCTCCTATACTCAATTTATTTCAGGGAAAACAGAGAAGAATAAATACTTTGAGAAATGCCCCTTTAAGAAACATTTGGTGGGCCTCCACTGGTGGCGCAGCGGTTGAGCAATGGTTGAAAGGCTGCCTGCAGTGTCTCTGCAGGGCCAGTTGGATCCCTGGCCACCAGTGATGGTCCCACAAAAAAAAAAAAATAAGAAAGAAACATTTGGTCTTAGGTCCTCTGATCCAGGTGAAGGACTTGCAGCTGAACTGGGCAGAGACTTCTGTAGATCTAACAGGGGAAAACAGATGTGCCAGTCCTTTGCCACTTTGTTATAGAAAGCATCAATAGGTTTCACTAATATTTTAGAAATTCGGAACTTATAGATTCAGATTCTTGAAATGCACAAAGAGGGTGCAGGGAGAGTACATTTCTATGCAGAAAGTTGCACATAGCTTGAGAAAGTGTCCCTTTTTTCCTGAAAGTCAGGTTCCTTATTTCAAAAATAAGATAAAAAATATCTCTGAGCATGGGTGGAAATGGGGTGTTTGAGGAATAGACGAGTTGCTGTTTATCTTCCTTCCCATAAGATGTCCTTCCAATATGCTGTGTGTGATGCCATCTTATCAGAGAATCATGGAGAGTTAGACCCTGGGTAGGCCAACCCCCACCTCCTTTAAATGACACAGCCATGTCCTGAGAAATCTGATGACAGGCCTGAAACCACACAGGCCGCCAGGTTGGAACACCAACCTCCA